ATAGTTTGCATGAAATATAATATTGTTAGAAAAAAATAATAAATCAAAAAATATAAAGAAATAACTCACATACTAAGATTTCTTTTAAAATTTAAAATTTTATAATTAGCACTATTTGACATTTGTATTATCAGTTATTTTTATTGCTCTCTGATTATATTTTTGTCACCTAAGAATTTTTTGAATTTTGGTTTATATGAAATAACATATATGTCTGCTGCTCAACACGATAATTTTTAAGAATTCAAGAAAAAACTTACTCCAAAAATGTTCATGCTCAAAGAATTCATCAATTACACAGGTCTGCATAATTTCATATTTTTTCTGCGGTCTGAAAAAAATGAATAATTTCTTCTAGTTTTCTGTGCATTGAATCCGCAAGGCAAAATGGCCTATTACATCAGGTTTTTGAGAAAAATGGGGTTAAAACTTCCAAAAAACGCGTTTTTTACCATTTCTAAAAATTTGTAGCAGACAAACCTTCTCGAGGTGTATTATTTAATTTATGCAAAATTTATCAAACGTGGATCATACTTTACGGGTCATTTATACTAGATAGTGTATCTTTGCATCATTGCTGGGTAGAATACATAAAGGTAAAATAGAACATCGATGGTTTTGTTAACTGTAATGATAAACGTTTCTAATATTGCACTATGGAATATGTTAAGCTATAAATATCACAATTTATAGCACATGTTCTTCTTACCGTGGCGAAACTGTAACGATATTACAAAACAATCCGGCGATGTTTACGTCAAAAGTTTTGCTGCCATTTTGCAAAATAAAGAGTATCATTTTCTGTGCATGTAATGCTGCCATATACTATTGAACATTGTATCTATAAAATAATATGACACTATCTATAATATAATGATAAACTACTAACGAAGAAAATATGTATCTATATACTAATATATACTAGATAGTGTATCTTCGCATCATTGCTGAGTAGAATACATAAAGGTAAAACAAATAGGACATTGATATATAAACGACACATAAAATTGTTTCTTATGCGGTAAAATATACATGGTTACTGTAATTTGTAATCTTTTGATCGGCATAATTAAATAGAAATATATATAAATACATGACAAATACAAATAACAGGTGTAATAAAAATGCTTCCTTATTTCCAAGCGATGCATTACGAAAAACCTAAAATCATGGTTGCGATTATCATATTTCTTATGTGTTCAAAAATTACTTATGATAATCATAATTATGGTATTAAAAATTATAAAAGTGAAGCCCAAAAGTTTGTATGTTAAAATATCTCTAATTCTTAAAATTATCTGAATTTATAATTAGCATAATGTGATATTGACATTATCAGTTTTGGTAATTATGCATAGGGCCAACCTCACAGATTTCAGTGACCTTGATATATATTATCAAGGACACGGCCTTGAAAAACTTTCAAAAGATTTTAGTTTATTGTTGCTTGTTGTTTATTAAAAAGGTTATTATGAAAATAAGTTTAACAAATGGAACGTAATTTTCGGACCATGTATATTAAAGGAGGAATATTTATTATTCTGATAGAAAGGTATAATATTTGAGCAAAAGTCAAAATACATTTAATCAAACTAATCTAAATATTTAACTTTTCTCACGATTAGAATCTGCTCAATTCCATGATATATAGTAAATGATAAGAGATTTTCTTACATATAAATATAGCAGTACATCGTCTTGTATAATGTCCAAATTTTTTAATAATAGCAAGTTCATTTTCGTTTCTTAGTACATCACAGATATACTGTAGTTGCTCCAACAAATTTCTCACCTGCCATTACAGCAATATTTAACATTTTGAAAAAATTTTAAAAGATTGTCATATATAAAAATTTAATTTATGGGAGATATTATTAAAATTATTTATTTGTGCGGTAAACAATTGACTTACATGATGAGTGTTAATCCAAAACATGTTGTATGTATATATGTACGTATGTATGATTTATTCGTCCCCTTGGGGTTTGAAGGCGTTTTTTCGGAACGTACCCAAACCTTTACATTTTCTTACAAACTCCTCTACCTTTCCATCCTTTACCCGACCTGGCCCTTTGCGACCTTACATATTTTTCTCCCTCCCCTTCCTCGTCCCACCATCATCCAGATCCTTCTGTTACCTACCACTACGCTTCTTCCGTACCCTCTTTCCATCTTCGCTTTTTCTACCATCCTCCATCTCATTCTTCTCTCCTCCATCGTTAAGTCCTCGTCCACGCCTATCTTCCATAATCTCCTTATCTCACTCCCTTTCTCCAATATCTCGTCTTTGTCCTCTTCTTTATCCATTTCCACTAATAATACCTTTTTCCCCCCTCCCCAACTCTTTCCACTACCCCTCTCATTTTTACCCTTCTCCCCAATACCTCTTCCATTACTTCTACCATAACTTCCCTTCTCTCCTCCGGCTCTTTCCCTTCCACGCCTCTCCACACTACATTTCTTCTCCTTCTTTCTCCTCTTGTCCTTTCCTCCTCTTTTCTTCTCTCTTCTATGTCCCTCTCTTCTCTCCTACTCACCTTCTCTTCCTTCACCCTCCTTTCCTTCCTCACCTTACTCCATTCTTCTCTTCTTCTTTTTCCTCCTCTCTTCTCTTCCTAGCCCTCTCCTTCTCCTTGTCCTCCTTTCTCCTTCTTATCTCCTCCCTCCTTTCCTTCCTCACCTTACTCCATTCTTCTTTCCCTCCATTCTTCTCTTCTTCTCTCTCCTCCTCTCTTCTCCTCCTAGCCCTCTCCTTCTCCTCATCCTCCTTTCTACTTCTTATCTCCTTCTTCTCTTTTCCAATTACCTTACTCCATTCTTCTTTCCCTCCATTCCCCTCTTCTTCTCTCTCCTCCTCTCTACTCCTCCTATTCCTCTCCTTCTCCTCCTCCTCCATTCTACTTCTTATCTCCTTCTTCTCTCTTCCAATTCTTTCTTTTCTTTCTCCTCCTGTGCTCTCTTCCGTGCTGTCCTCTATCCTTTTCCTCCTCTCTCCCCCTTTTCTCCTTCTCTCTCCTTTTTTCTTCCCTTCTCCCGACCTGCTCGCCTTCTTCTCCTCTTTTCCTCTCTCTTCTTTCTCTCCTCCTACCCTACTCCCTCCTTCCTCTTCTCTCTCTACCGCTTCCTCTTCGCTTTCCTCCTCCCACCGGTATTATCTTTCCCTTCTCTCTACTCTTGCACCTAAATCTAAACCTTTCTTCTCCCTTTCTTTCCTTACCTCTCTTTCTTTTTCACTGCCTGTCTCTTCTGCTTTCTTTCACCTTTCCTCCTTTTTTACTACAATTTCCTCCTTCACTGCTCCCGTTGCTCCCCCTATCCCCCTCTTCTCTCTTCTTCCCTGATCCCTCGCCTCCTCTCTCTCTCTTCTTCTCCCTCCTCTTCACTTTCTTCTTCTTGCGACACCGTTGTTTCCTCCTCCTTTTCTCTCCTTCCTCTCGCTCTCTCTTTTCTCCATAATTTCAGCTGCTTCCTTATTCCCCTTACCTCCACCACCAGCTCCTTCAACCACTTTTCCATGTCCTCCATCTATTTTTCTTTCCTCCCGTTTTCTTTTCCCAGCCTGCTTACTTCTCTCCCTTTCTTTCTTCCCTCTCACTCTTCCTTCCACCTTTATCTCCTTCCTTCTCTTTCCTTCCTGCCCTCTTCCGTTCTTCTCACTCGCTTTCTTATCTTCTATTTCGCCTCTCTCTATTTTTGCTTCCTTCTCCTCCTCACCTCTTTTCTCACAACGCACTTTATCCTTTCCTATTTTTCTATCCGCTACCTTTCACCTAACCTCGCTTTCCTCTTCCACCATCTACTTCCTTCTGCCCTTTTTCCTGTCGCACTCCCCTTTTCTTCTTTTCCCTTCCTCTGTTGTCCTTCTGCCTTCTGCCAGTCCCTTTTCACCTTTTTTGTTTCTGTCACACCTTTAGCCTTCCTTCTTTTCACTTGCTATGTATTCCATTCCTACTGCCCGTTTCGGTATCGATATCCACTAACTCCCTATGTGCTCGATCCTAGTTCCTTACCTACATTCGGCTCCACCTCTCGGATTTTCTCATTCAACTCTCCTCGTTCCTTTGTGCCCTATCTTATCTAACTCTCCTCTTTCTTATCGACCTCTCGTCCTTCCTCTTCTTCTCAGCCTTTCTCCTTCTATCCATCTTCTCTCTCTCTTTTTCTTCCTTCTAACCTTCAAACTGCCAAACGCCTTTGTATCCTTCTTTCTTCTATAATCATCCTTCCACTTTGTTCCCTTCACTCACAACTGCTCCTCCCTTTCCACTCTTCTTACTCCTTTTCTCCGCTCCAATTCCTTCCTCTCTACACCAACTTCCCTCGCCTTTCCCTACGAGCACATGCCCCAACTATCTCTTCCCCAACCGCCATTTTTCCACTCCAACATGTTGTATGTAATGCATAGAAATTAAAGACTATTGCGGTAGAGAAAACTTTGATGAAAAAATCAACAGTGCATTTTGTAGTTATAAGTGCTAGAAGCTTTAACCAATCGATTAATTGAAAATGGTGCATTAAGAAAACATCATTTTACATTTTACTAAGAGATTAAAACAATTATCTGTTTTGTGATAAATAATAAATATTAATAACGTATTGAAATTTTAATATTTATCTATTGCAATTGAAATGTATTCTATTATCAATAATTAAATATAAAATTTGATCACAATTAAAAATTTTGATAAAAGTAAGCGTTTACTAAATTAGTAATGAGATGTGCGTATTCTATATTAACACGATTGAAAATATGGAGACGTACCTGGAATATAACAAAATTTATCAAAATACCAAAAAATAAGATTATCTGAAATTGGACATTCTTATATACGGACGCTCCTGAGACAAAGCGTAGTGCTCCTTAGTTACGCATATCTGGCGACTCGTTGCTAACGTACGAGCGGTGAGTGGGGGGCAATGGGCGTGAACCACGGAATCGGGCCGAAATGTGCAAGTAAATCCCAGCACTGATATAAGGTATAGTTGACATATTTGTTTAAATATGCAAATGCTAATTCCGAATACATTTAAAGCCAACTGTATATTATAAAATATCATTCGCTGTATGTGTGTGTGTGTATGTGTGTATGCTTTCTCAAGCATATATGATATATTATATATGTATATACTTAAAATAATATACTTAATTTAATAATTAAATATTA